CCCCTCCCCTCCCCCCCTTCCCCGATCCGTCGTCGGGGACCCCCTCCCCCCTCCCCCCCCTTTCAACCAGGGGGGGCGGGGGTCCGAACCCCCCCCCCTCCCCCCGTTTGGCCGCACCCCCCCCCCTCCCCCCTTTTCGCCACGCTGCTCCTTGACTCCGGAACCCGACCCCCGCCACCCCTACCCTTAGTGCTCACGCTAACCCAAACCCCTAACCCGAACCCCAACCACGAAACCCAGCCCCAAAAAGTAGTCACTACTCATTACTCACTACCCACTACTGACTACTCGCTATTCGCTACTCACTTCTCACTACCCCCTACTCACTACTCACGACTCACTACTCACTATCCACTACTCACTACCCACCACCCACTACTCGCAACTCACTACTCCCTACTCACCACTCCCTCCTCCCCACTCACTACTCACTACTCACTCCTCACTACCCACTACTCAAGACTTTCTACTCACTAAGCACGACTCACTACTCCCTACGCACTACTCACGAGTCAATACTCATTACCCACTACCCACTAATCCACTACTCACTACTCATTGCCCACAAATGACTACTCACTACCCACTACTCGCTACTCGCTACTCCCTGCTCCCTAGACAAAAATGACTACACAGTACTCAGTACCCACTACTCGCTACTCTCATACTCGCTCCTCAATACTCACTACTCACTCCCCGCTACTCACTATTCAGTACTCACTACTCCCTACTCACTAGTCACTACATTGTCTCTGGTCACTACACACTAGTCACAGGTCACTGCTCAGTACCCACTACTCAATAATCGCTACTCACTACCCACTCTTCGCTAATCCCTTCTTACTACTCACTGCTCACTACTCCCTACTCCTTACTCCCTGCTCACTATTCCCTAATCGTTACTCACTAATCACTACCCACTACTCCCTACTGGCTACTCTCTACTCACTACTCACTACTCACTACGCCCTCCTCGCTCTTCATTACCCACTACACGCTATCCACTGCCAGTACCCACGACTTTCTATTCATCACTACTCATTACTCACTACTCACTACGCACTACGCACTACGTACTACTCAGTACTCAGTACTCAGTATTCACTACTCACTACTCACTACTCGCTACTCTCTACTCACTACTCACTGCTCACTAATCACTACTCACTACTCACTACGCACTACTCGCTACTCACTACTCACTACGCACCACGCATTACCCACTACTCACTACTCACTAATCACTACTCGCCACGCACTACTCACTCCCCACTACTCATTACTCCCGATTCCCTACTCAGTACTCACTACGCACTACTCGCTACTCTCTACTCACTACTCACTACTCGCCACTCACGACTCACTTATCAGTACACACTACTTACTCACTATTCACTACTCACTACTCCCCACTCCCTACTCCCTACTTCCTACTCGCCACTCACTACCCACTACTCAGTACCCAATACTCACTACTCACTACGCACTAACTCACTACTCACGACTCACCACTCCCTACCCCCAACTCCGTACTCCTTACACACCTTCTCAAGCGCAGAAAGGAAAAGCGAGAGAGGCCCCCCCTCCCCGGCTTCCTTTCCGGCGCAAAGGAGAGGAGGGGGGGGGGGTCCGAACCCCCCCCCCCTTCAGCACCAAGGGGGGGGGGGTCTGGACCCCCCCCCCATCCTTCAAGGGGGGGGGTCGGACGCCCTTCCCCCTTTTAAAGGGGAAGGGGGGGGGGGGGGTCCGGACGCCCCCCCCCCCTTGAAGGGGGGGAGGGGGGGGGGGGTTCTGGACTCCCCCCCTTTAATGTATTCGGGGAGATCCACTGGCGCACTTTCTTTTTCAAGCCTTTGAACTCATGCAATATCTTCACAGCTCGCGAATCACAGCGTAACCGGAGTAATTTCCGATGCTTTTTGCTGATCAACTTGGACAGTTTGCGCCGCTCTGCTTGGTTTTGATGCTGACGACGCCGATGTCTCTTTCACAGGGGGGCTCGCTTGGACGACGTGGTGCTGGTGGAGCAGGAGAGCGAGAAGTGCATCCCCCTCGTCGCTTGCGCATCTGCTCTGCTGGGCCCCAACCTGGCGGTCAGTGCGACGACGCCCTGCGCAAAACGTAGCATGCGGAGGTCCTCCATCTCTTCCTGTGGAGTGTTGCGGTCGACGAGCTGCGTCCGGACGCACTTGGACGCTCAGGGATCTCGAACACTCTCATGAGGATATGGCATATTCTCACACGGGGGCTGCGCCAGCTGCCGCCGACGCCCTCGCTTGCGTCCTGCGCGCCCTTGGCCTCTTTGAGGCGGGTTTGTCAGAGGTGAAAGCGCCTGAAGCAGCCCTCTGCAAAACTTGCGCCGACTACGTGCGATGAGGAACTGGACCGAACTCCGCGGACTGGCTTTAGGCCGCTATCCAAACTACCTGCCACTCTGCCACTTCCTGAGATGCAATCGTCCCTCTTTGATCCTCTTCCTCCACCTCCTTCGCTTACGTATTATTTGTTATCCTTCGTCTTCTATCTCTCTCTCTCTCTCTCTACTTCGCTGCATTCTCCTCTCCTCGTCGTCGTCTTTCTCCTCCGTCTCCTCCCCCCCCATCCTCTCCATCCTCTTCCTCCGAATCCCCCCCTTCTCATCCCCACCATCCACTGATTCCTCCATGTTCGCCCTCCGTCTTCCCTCTCCGCACTCTCCACGAGAGCGTTTCTTTATGTTCGGCGATGACGGGCGTCATGGGGGGGGAGACGTAGCGCCCCCCCCCGCCGTGTGGTTCCGGCACCACAGCCGCGCCCGCGCGCACGACGCGACGAGCGACACGCGACAAGCGACGACGACGACGCGAGCAGCATGTAGGTGGCGATCTGCCCCCCTGCGCCGGTGTACACCACAGCGCTCGCGTGCACCACAGCGCGCGTGTACACCACAACGCCTGCGTACATCGGAGCAACCGTGTGCAACGCAACGCCTGTGTACACTGCAGTGCTTGCGTACACTACAGCGCCGGTGTACATGTGCACACCGAAAGCAACCATGTGCGACACAGCGCCTGTGTACACCACAATGCTTGCGCGCACCGCAGGGCCTGTGCACGCCACAGCGCCTGTCTACACCACAGCATCCGCGTGCAACGCAGCGCTATTGTACACCACAGTGCCTGCGCGCATAGGACAGGTAGAAGGAGCCTGTACGTGAGGATTTGCTGCGGAAGCGCGACGCAAGTAAAGTGCTGATAATCGAATGCGACGTTTTTCCGTCTTCCCTTCTCCTTCACTTCCACCTCCTCCTCCTCCTCCTCCTCTTTCTCTTCCTCCTCCTCCTCCTTACCCCCTGTCGTGCGGGTTGGCGCTACAGCGCACGTGCACAACTCAGCGTGCACCGCAGAATGGTCGATTGAATCGGCCCACTTGGTTCTCGGACGGCCAATTTAGATGGAGCCTCCTGGACGCAGATGGGAGGAGTTACGGTGATGCGGGCGCACTCGGAAGGACTCGTAGATTCCCCTGGCGCTCCCTTGTCCATAAGGATTTTCTTCTGGTGTTTTCGTGGAATTCACAAACGCTCCATATTGTCATACTGTCTCCTTCTAACATTATACATACAACAGTCGTGTTGTGTTGCACACAGTCTCTACGGTGCACACAAGCGCCGTGGTGTAAACAAGTACTGCAATGCACGCAGGCATTTTGGTGTACGCTGCTGTGTTGCACACGGCTGATGTGGTGTACGCAGGCGCTGTGGTGTACACAAGAGCTGATGTGCCCGCGCGCGCGGTGGCACAAGCTGATGCTGTGTTGCACGTAGCTGCTGTAGTGTACATGGGCGGTGTGGTGTACACACGCGCTTTGGTGCACGCAGGCACTGAGGTGTACACAAGAATTGTGGTGCAAATCGCCACCTACATGCTGGTGCCACCCGTCTTCCGTCATTCCTAGGCATTCCCAGGCGCCGCCGGCGCGAAAAGTGACGTCATCGACCCCCTCCCCCCCCCAAATGATTGCCGTCATCGGCGCGAATAAAAAACAGGCTCCATCCGCGTCCGCTCGCACGACGACGATGAGCGACAAGCGACGAGCCACGAGCCACGAGCGACGACGACGACGACGACGTCGACGACAACGACTGCGAACCAGACTCCTATGCGGATTCCTACGCGGATCCCAATACGCACGGCGGCAGTGCCCCGAGCGCACTGGGGAGGGGAGCGTTACGTCACAGGGGGGGGGCGGGGGCCATGACGCCCGTCATGCCCCAAGCAATACAGAGATGGTATCCACGCTATGATCTCCTCCTCCTCCTCCGCCTCCTCCTCTTCCATCCCCCATCCACTGCTGCCGATGTGTGGATGAGGTCTGGGCTCCTTCCCGCCTCGCCCCTCTCGTAGCCTCAAGCCCCCACGCCCAGGCGCGGTGCCCTCGCACAAAGGAGGAGGCAGAGCGGAGTACAGCCGAACCGTGGGACGCAGGTCAAGAGCACGAGCCCCTTCGCCGAAGGCCCAAGGTCCCATGGAGATGCCCGAAAACGCAACTAGCCCCAAGGTTGGGAGCCGAATCACGAAGACCCGAAGGGACGTCACCTCCAGACCCAGTGATGTGATTCGGTCTCGTGCGAGCTCTTGCTGCAGGGCGCAGGGCGCCCCCCAGTGGGGCGAAACATATAATGTAAGCCCAGCAAGTAGTTTCCGAACAACGGGCGCGGCACGGGTCCGTGGGCTGGCTGGTGGGGAGAGACCAAGCAAGACGGCCAAGGATGCCCAAGTATGCCCGATGCCCTCCCCCCAAGACGGTCCAAGAAATACCAACGCAGCCCCCGAGAGGGTCAGACACCGCAACAGTGGATTTATCTGGTGTGCGCTTGCCCGTCGCCTGCTTTGCCCTCGCGACACTCCAGAAGCGCTTCAAAACTGCCCCCAACCGCCCTACGGCCTCAACATCACGCACGACGGCCCCGAGGTGTGGCTGGGAGGGAGGACTCAGTGACAGCTGTTTGGCCTCCCATCCTCGTCTTCGAACTTTACCTCCTGCTCGCGTTGCCACTCAGACTTTGCAGCTGCTCTGACTCTGACTTTGCAACTGATCGCCCCCCTGGCGCCGTGCATGCGCGAGACACGGAGGGTGAACTGGCTGCGTTTCGCGAAGACCTTGGGCCAATCAAAACAAAGAAGCCCCGGATGGTCATCGTCGTGGATCATGACCTTGCAGCTTGCGTTGCACTCGCCATCCTGCAGCTTCGCCACCTCGGCCTCGCTTCGCGGCCTCAGCAACCGCACCTCGAAAAACTCTGTGGCCTGCCACTTGTCGTCGTTGATCACCTGAACCTCGATGCGCTGCTCGAGCTTTGCAGCCGGTCCGAACACCAGCTCGCCGTTGGCATCTTGGTATCGGGGATCGTCGACGCACGTCGAGGTTGACCTGGCATCGGGCAGGGCTGCAAACAAGATCCCTTGTTCATCATAGAAGGCGAAACACCTACCCCGCTTTTGAGCACCCCACAGGAGCCGGCCAATACCGGCTTGCTCGCGGGGGACACGACCGCGAACGCGGGTGTCAAAACATGGTCGACATGCCCGCCGATGTTACCTAGTTTCGCAGCGCGCCCCCAACACTCCGCACTGCCGAACCACAAATCTCCTAAGCACTGTCCCAGACGACGCAAGGTACCGTAACAGACGACGCTCAAATACAATACCGGAAAAACTTGGTATTATACCAAGATCGTCCGGTATCGTACCAAGTGCACTTCGGCCACAACAAACGCGAACTTGGTATAATACCAAACGCGTTTGGTACAATACCACATTTTCCAGTATTGTACCACATATCTCCAGTACTGTATCGGAGAACGCCTTGGTACAATATCGAGGTTTTCCGGTATTATACCAAATCGCTCTGGTGCGACACCTCGCGTCGTCCTGGACAGTGTATGGGGATGCAGTGGCTTATCAGTGCGATGCGCCAGGGGGGCGCTGACTCCCGTGCTGCCGCTCACGAGGTGCATGGTATGACTTGGTTTTGCGTCGGAAGCGGAAACAAGGGAGGAAACAACTCCTCTGAGCCTCACAAATCCTTCCCTCTTCCCTTGCCCTGTGAGGCCATCGATTCCTCCCCCGCTCTCCTCTCCTCATCTCCTCTCTTCCACCCGTCACCTGCCCTCCACTCGCCTCCTCCCCTCCTCTCCCAAACCGACTTCCCGTCCCCAACCCTCCTGCCCTCACCAACCCTGCCCTCCTCTCCTCTCTACACCACCGACGCACTGCTTCCACTTCCCAGCCCTCCTCCCCTCACCTCCCAAACCCTTCCCCCTCCTCTCCTCCCGTAGTCATCCTCCCCTCCCCACTCCTCTTCCCCTCATCTCCTCATCGCCTCCTCCGCTCCACATCCGAAGCCCTTCTCTGCTCCCTCAGCCGTCCTCATCATCTCACCTCCCCTAACCTCCCTTTCCGCTCCCCTGCAAAGATCCCGTCAGATCCCGTCCTTCTACACCCATCCTCATATCATCACTCACCTCGCCTCCCCTCCCCTCCTCCCCTCCCTTCTGAACCTGTTCCACCACCCCCAACCGGATCACCTCCCCGAGGAAAGGGGGAGGAGGGAGCAGGAAGGAGGGGGGAGAGGAGGAGGGATGAGAGATGAGGGGGGAGGGAGGAGGGAGAGGAGGCAAGAGGGAGGAAAGAGAGGCGGGAGGAGGGATAAGGGAGAAGGGAAAATGGAGGATGGAGGACGGAACTGGGAAATGGAAGGGAAGAGGGAGGAGGTAGGAGCGGGGAAGCGGACAAGCTAGGCGCACTCGCGCCACTTCTGACATCCTACCCCTCCCTCCCATCCCTTCCCATTGCGCTGATTCGTGATTCGTTGTCTTCTCACCGAATCGGGTGTCGATTCTGACATTCATGCCCAAGAAGGGGGAGAAGGAAGGAGGAGGAGGAGGAGGCGGACAAAGGATGAAACATGGAGGAGGAGGAGGAGGAAGAGAAGAAGGAGATCGAACGACTCAGGGGTCTTCGGGTGAGAGAGAAGAGTAGCATTCATGTTGCTCAGCTGTGGAGGAGGGAGATGGGGGAGAGGAGGAGGGAAAAGAAAAAGGGGGGTAGACGTGGACCAAACAGTTTTCTAAAAATCTACGGGACGCGTGCGGGTTTGAAGCCCCTGACGCCCCGAACCGCTGTGTGCCTCTGAGACCCGTAAGTCAATATTATGAAGGGTAAAGGTCCTCACAGTCACAATTCTGCAAGAGCCGCTGCAAACGAAAAACCGGGTCGTTTACAAGGCGGTCACAACGGGCCACAACCAGTCACGACGGGTCACAACGTGCCCAAAAGGCCCAAACCACAACGCACTCCGACCGTCACAGCGGGTCACACATGTTAATGCGGCCCCAGCCCCAGCACTTCCCGCCCGTCACAGAGGATCACACATGTCCACGGGGCCCCAGCCCCAGCGCGTTTCGAACTTTACAACGATGGGCAACTGCCAGCGGAGCCCCAGCCCCAACGAGCTCCGCCCGTCACGACGGGTCTCACATGGCCGCGGGGCTAGCCCTGGCGCATCCCTCCCGTGGCAGAGGGTCACAAATGCCCACGGGGCCCCAGCCCCAGATCCCTCCGCCTGTCACAACGGGTCGCAAATGCCAGCGGGGCCCCATCCCCAGCACGTTTAGCCCGTCACAACGAATCTCAAATGCCACTGGGGGCGCCGACCCCAACGCGCTCCGCCCGTCACAGCGGGTCGCAAATTCCTATGGTGCCCCAGCTGGGCCCTGCCCACGATCGCCAGGGACGGCGGCGCCGACGCTGCAGTCGCGAGCCTGAAACCTCCCGGCGTGGCGAGGGGCTCCACCCAGGCCTGCTCTGTCAGGTGGAGCTGAATGACGTTCTTCCTGTTGCTCAATCAATGCTCTGTTTGGAACGCATCTAACTGACAGGCGACCCGGTCGAAATGGCGCAACGATGCCACGCCTGGCGAACGCGCGACGGTAACTGCATGCGTTGGTGGCAGATTGTCCGCCCTTGCAAAGTTTGGGCCTGCCCTGCAGAGTTTCTTGGTTTCCCTTCAACATGAAAGCGTCCCTGAAACCGTAAAGGAACGCCCCCGAGTGCCGATCACATTCGAAACCTGCCAGATCAACGCACGGATGTTGCTCAACTTTTATTTCGAACAACTCAGAAGGGGCCGACGCTCTCACCTAGGCGGCGGAACACGTCTGCGGCCAACATGTTTTTTTTCACGAACACGGTGCCGCCCACGATCGCCAGCACGGGGCGGCGGTGACACGGCTGATTGAAGTGCGCAAAGAATCCATCCACTTCTGGGAATTGATTCGCGGGCAGGGTTTGACTGGCAAAGGCCGCCGTCTCGGCTCGGACCGCCTGCCCCATAGCGCGCTGCTTCTGGCAACGCTGAACAGCCCATGCATCGCGCCGGCGCCTTTGAAAGCCGAGTCCTACCTTGGCTGCGTAGTCGAAATACACATCATGTGTTAGCTTCTGCTGCTTCAAGAGGTTGTTGATCCACCAAACCTCTACAGGGTAATCTTTTAATCGCTTATATTCAGCCTCTGCGCATAGCGAAACTGTTTAATCAACGACGACATAAAAATAGCCGCGTCGCACAGTTCCGGCGTGCGAGCCACCACTTGCTCGGTTAGGTACATGCGGGCGAATAGTCTCGAAAATGAGCGTGTCCAGTGCGTTGCGACCCTTGTGCTGAAAAACCTTGTCGGTGTTGAAATGCACATGAACGTGAACGTGGTCCTTTTCTAATTTTGCCATCGCTATGGACCTGTGCTCCGCAGTCAATACCTTTCCAAACTGGCATGCGAAAACACAGAAGCGGAGAAACAACCGATGCAACACTCCTTTGTCTGTTGGCGCCCATTCTCCCACAGTGGAATCATATGTCAGCTGTGCCGCATGGAATTTCCATTCTTTGGAAGCGTTCGCCTGTCGGGCGGGGGCCACGCCAGCGGGGCCCGCCTCGGCACTGGTGGCCCACTTGGAATTAGATGTTTCCAACAAGTCTGTAACACTTGTCCGGGCATCTTCGGTTGAAGCCGGGGCCCCGAGTGTAGCTTGCACCATCGTTTGCACCTGTGCGTTCCCAGCCACGTCAAACACCTGATCGACGTCATACTCGCGAGCGATACGGCGAAACTGCTGGACAATTTTACGTCGCTCAGTGTTGACAGCCACCGGCTTCGATACACTTACGGCGTTAGGCCGACTGGAGCCATCATAGACACAAACACTCGTGCATCCCTCATCCGTGCCATTTTCGCTCCTCCCCCGAACCCCGTACTTACAGCAGCTTCCTACTATGTCAGGTCCCTGACGCCGCACCGGACCATTCTAGATTGAAAAATGTCTGCTTGCGGAGATTCCCAGAGGCTCTCGGCCTCGTCTTCCGCATGGATTCCTAGCGGTGGGATAAGGCAACTGCATGGCAACAGCATGGCAATCACATGGCAACTGCATGTCAATAGCATGGGAACTACATGGCAGTAGCATGGCAATTGCATGGGAACTGCATGCATGTCAATTGCATGGGAAATGCATGGCACTAGCATGGCAGCTGCGTGGCAACTGCATGGCAACTGCACGGCAATATCATGGCAACTGCATGGCAATATCATGGCAATTGCATGGCAACTGTAAGGCAAACCCATGGCAACATCATGACAACTGCATGGCAGTTTCATAGCAACCCTACGGCATTTGCATGACAACTGCATGGCAATCGCAGGGCAATAGCATGGCAGCTGCATAGCAATATCATGGCACATGCATGGCATTTTCATGGCAACTGCATGGCAACAACATAGCAATGACATGGCAACTGCATGTCAATCGCCCCCCCCCTTCCACCCACCTCCGCGCCCCCCTCCCCATCCACGCCCCCTCCAACCCCCCATCCACCCTCCCGCCACCACCCCACCCACCCTCTCTGGAGCCTCCCAGGGGACCCCCAAGGCTCCCAAGAAAGCCCCAACAAGGCCCGAAGAGGCGCCCAGGAAACTCCCTCCTCCGTGTCCTCGTCCATCTCCTCCGATTCATCCTCCATCTTCCCCCTGTTGGGGTATGGAGGCTTCCCGGGCCCTTGTTTTTCTGTGAGCACCCTCCTTCCACTTTCTGATCGGGACAACTCGCCTGGGCATCGTTGTTGAATGGGCTGGTGGAGATACCTTTTTTTCGTCGCAACCGCAGGCGGAGGCGCCGGCGGCGTCAAAGGTCAACCTGGGCTACGGGCGAAGCCTAATTACCCAGCGGGCGCACTCACGGCTGCCGACGCTGCCGCCGAAGGTGGCTGAGAGGCGCACTGGTGGAGATACTTTGTTCCCAACCATCCTGTGGAAATGTGTCCTCGCTTTGAAGAGACGGTGCCCCGCGTTCCCTCTCTTCCTCCTCTCCCCCTCCCCCCTTGCCTCTGCCCTCCGCGTGTCTCTTTGTCGGCAAACCTCGCACGCTTCGTGACCCCATGGGGAGCTCCGCCTAAGGTCCCAATGGCGGGGCTCGCGTGGCCCCCCCGCCCCATTTTGGCACACCCCTCACGCGCTTCGTGGCCCCATAAGGAGCTCCACCTAAGGTCCCAGGTGGTGGAGCTCGCACGGCATCCCGCCCAATGTTGGCACGCCCCTCGCACGCGTCGTGGCCACATAGAGAGCTCCGCATGAGGTCCCAATGGCGGCGCTCGCATGGCATCCCCGCCCCAGTTCGGCACGCCCCGCGCACGCTTCGCGGCCCCGTAGGGGGCTCCACCTGAGGTCCCAGTGGAGGAGCTCGCACGGCATCCCCGCCCCATTTAGCCACGCCCTTCATACGATTCGCGGCCCCATAAGGAGCTCCACTTGAGGTCCCAGTGGCGGCGCTCGCACGCAGTACCCACATCCATTTTGGCACACCCCTCACACGCTTCGTGGCCCCATAGGGAGCCCCACCGAAGGCCCTAGCGGGGGTGCCAAGACCCAACATCACGAACCACGAGGGGCGCCAGTGGCAGCTTCCCTCGTGGCTCTCAGAGCCCTCTCCTGCTTCTGTTCCTCGGTCAAGGGGGCGCCGTCCTCGTCGTCGTCGGCGCCCGCGAAAACGACCGCGAACGTGTCCCTGAGCACGTCGGGTTCCGGCGGGAAGCCGTGGCCACATAGGGGGCGTGGGCGAAGATGGTATTCACAATTGCGTTGTTGTCGACTGCGTGTGGCTGGTTTTTCGCAAGGTTAATTTTTGTCGCAACCGCAAACGGAAACGCCGGCGGCGTCACAACTGGCGGAAATACGTTTTTTGGTCGGCGGCTCCGAGGCGGCGGACAGGGAGCGGAAGGCGTCGTCTGGGCCAGCAAGCGAGGCTAGTTAGTAACAACAGGCAACGCACCTGCAGTACAAATTCGCAAAGAATGCGAGGTGTGCGCACGCATTAAGCAACATGCCCCACATTAAGGCGAACGCACCTAGGCGCCAGCCACACCGAGGTGAAGCAGCCGCAGTGCTACGCAGCGGGAGAGTCGCCCTGTCGGCGCCAGTCCGCGCAGCCAACCTAGCCGACAGACAGGTAGCACCGAAGCAACACGCTGAAGGCTGAACCACTCAACGCGAGGTACCATACCACAGCCGTGCCCGGGGTCGGCTGAGACAGGGGCAAAGGAAAGGCAGGGACCTACAGAGCTCTCACTCCACGATCCACACCGCTGACCATGGTGGGGCCGGTGCGTCAGCCATCGCTTCCGAAACCAGTCACAGGCCAGGACGCAACGACGAAAGGACACGCAGGCCAAAGCGCCAGTACTGCCGCCAAGCGGGTATCGGCCGAAGCTCGCAGAGGTACGCTGCAGCCGCGGTCAGCTCATAGGCGTTGGGGTGTAGTCAGGGCTGAATCTGACCACAGAAAGAGCCGGTGGACGGCAAGTACCAACAGAGCACTCACTCCGCGGACCGCACCGCCGCCCGGGGGGGGGCCGGTGTGTCGTCATCGTATCCGAAACCAGTGACAGGTCGGGGCAGCAACGATGAGAGAGGACACGCTGGCCCGGGGCCGGTATACTGCAACCACTCAGGAACCAGTCAAGATAGTCGCCGAGATTCGCAGCTGCCGCGATCACCTCACGAAGGGCTGGAACACAGCAAGGGCTGAATCTGACCACGGGGTGGAGAGGGGGGTGCAGCCAACAGCCGCAGTGTACACAACTGGTGGAAATACGCGAAGCGTCAATAATATTGTGCAGGCGTGGCCATAATATTGCACTTGCGTGCCAATATCATTGGCGGCAACATAGCAATAGCAAAACAAAACCACAAGAAAAACAAATCAACAACAAAGAGGCAAAACCAGAAAACCACACCAGCCTAGTGTCCGAAGGGGCACCGCCGAGCAGCCTCCTCAGCGAAAGGGGGATGACGACGAGGAAGACGAGGGGCAAAAGGAGGAGTAGGATAGGAAGAATATGGAGGGGAAGAAAGGGAGGGGACGGAAGAGAGCAGCCGCAGTAGTAAGAGGAACCTGGGAGGAAGGGGGAGGAGAACAAAAACAGAAGCAGGAGAAACGGAAAAGGGAGGAAGGTGCAGGAGGAGGGGGGAAAAACAAGACGCATTGTCGCACAATGCAAAGACTGCAGGACTAGACCGTGCAGTGGCAGCTATGCAATGCCACGCAACGCAACGCAACGCAACGCAACGCAACGCAACGCAATCCAAACTAACGCATACCTTCGGAAGGCGACATACCTACCCCGCTTTTGACCACCCCCGCTTCCCAACGGTAGCCGGACAATACAAACTTGTTCGCGGGGGGCGCAACCGCGATCGATGGGGTCATAGCATGATCGACATGCCCGCCGATCGTACTTAGTTTCGCAATGCCAAACCACACATCTCCGAACCAGTGTCCCAGACGACGCAAGGCATTGAAACAAACATCGTTCCGGTACAATACCGGAAATACTTGGTATGATCGGAAGTTGGGGGGGGGAGATCGCAGTGGAAAAGGAGACCCCCAACCGGGAAATCGTTTCGTTTTGTTCGCGTCGTGCGTGCGGGCGGGGCGACGGTGCGTGGCCGCGCAAGAAGAATGAACCCGCCCTTGCGAGGGCTGAATCACGACAGAATTTGTTTCGTCCGTCCGTCCATTCGGCAGTGGCTTGAGCGGTGTCGCGCGGTGTCCCGTGGCGTCCGCCGCTGTTAGGGCGAAGTCAAGACAAATGTTTCTCTACCGCCATCCGTCCAGCGGTGGCTCGACCGGTGTCCCGCGGCGTTTCGTGGTGTCCCGTGGTGTCCGCCGTTGCTAGGTCGATGTCAAGACAAATGATTCCCCCCCGCCCGCCCGTCCGTCCGTCCGTCCAGCGGTGGTTCGCGGTGTCCCGCGCTGTCCCGTGGAGTCCCGTTGAAAGAGATGGATCGTGATATCGATAGTGATATCAATGTGGTGCCCCGAAGTGTCTGGAACCGATAGTGATATCGATAATGAAATCGACCGGTGCCCCGTGTTGTCCCGTGGTGTTCCGTTGAGTGAGATCGATAGTGAGATCGACGTGGTGTCCCGAGGTGTCCCGTGGTGTCCCGTTGAATGAGATCGATAACGGAATCGCTAATGGGACTGATAGTGAGATCGAGAAGCGTCCCGCGATGTCCCGCGTTGACGCGCGGTGTGCCGTTGAGATAGATCGATAGTGAGGTCGATAGTAAAATCGACAAGTGTCCCGTCGTGTCCCGCGGTGTCCGGTTGAGCGAGATCGATCGCGAGATCGATTGAGTCTGACGTTGGCACTCCCCCCCCCCCGCACACACAGCCTCCATATCACCCGAAGGGTGGTCGTATGGGTATAATTCCCAACCATCCTGTGGCGCTGGGTCCTCGTTTTGAAAAGACGGTGCCCCGCGTTCCCCCTCCTCCACCTCCCCCTCCTCTCCCCCCCCCCCCCCTCGCCTCTGCCCTCCGCGCGCCCCTCTGTCGGCGCGCCCCTCACGCGCTTCGCAACCCTATAGGGAGGTCCACCTAAGGTCCCATAGGCGGGACTCGCATGGCATCCCCGCCGCCATTTTGGGGCACCCCTCACACGTTTCGTGGCCCCATAGGGAGCTCCACCTCCACCTGAGGCCCCAGCGGTGGGGCTCGCGGGGCATCCCCGCCTCATTTTGGCACACCCCTCACACGTCTCGCGGCCCCGTAGGGAACCCCACCTAAGGTCCCAGCGGCGGAGCTCGCATGGCATCCCCGCCCCGGTTTGGCGCACCCCTCGCGCGTCTCGTGGCCCCACGGGGAGCTGTTCCTAAGGTCCCAGTGGCGGAGCTCGCATGGCATCCCCGCCCCAGTTTGGCGCACCCCTCACGCGCTTCGCGGCCCCATAGGGAGCTCCACCGAAGGCCCTAATGGGGGCGCCAGGACCTAACACCACGAGCCATGAAGGGCGCCAGTGGCAGCTTCCCTCATGGCTCTCAGCGCCATCTCCTGCTTCTGCTCCTCGGTCAAGGGGGCGCCGTCCTCGTCGTCGTCGGCGCCCGCGAAGACGGCCGCGAATGTGTCCCTGAGTATGTCGGGCTCCGGCGGGAAACCGTGGCCACATAGGGGGCGTGGGCGAAGATGGTATTCACAATTGCGGTATTCACAACTGCGTATGGTTGGGTCTTTCGCAAGGCTATTTTTCGGAATCGTACCACAATGCACTGTTGCCAGGCCCGCAAATGTAAGATCACAATGCGAAAACAAATGTGGTATAATACCACACGCGTTTGGTACAATACCAAATTTTTCGTCATTGTACCACATTTCTCCGGTACCGTACCGGAGAACGCCTTGGTACAATATCGAGGTTTTCCGGTATTATACCAAGTCGCTCTGGCGAGATACCTCGCGTCGTCCTGGACTATATCTGGGAATGCAGTGGCTTGTCACTGCGATGCGGCGGGGGGCTGCTGACTCCCGTGCCGCCGCTCACGGGGTGCATGGTATGACTTGGCTTTGCTTGGAAGCGAAGGCGAAGCCGAAAAAGGCTCCCCCTGATCATCGCATAGCACGAGACAACTCGGGAACCAGGAGGAAAGACAGACCGATGGCACTGCGATGGCTGGGCGTATCCACGTGCACATGAGAAAGCTGGGCCCACCTCTGATCCGAATGGCAACGATCCAAAAGGAACGGTGGCAATGCCAGCATTTGCACAATGGCGGCGCACGACACAGATGGATGCTTACAGCTTGAAGATTAACTGCGCCCGAAGATCTTGCAATAGTGGGTCGGTTTGTAATGCAGTTCTGCTTGTGTGCTACTGCGGCTACGTGCAACTCTGCAAAAATACAAGTCCCCCTGGGTGGGGTTGGGGGGCACGTCTGAGAAGCGTGCTGCTGGACTGGTTGGTTGTTTTCCTTTGTGCGTTGTGTTGTTGTGTGTCTCTCCTCTTCCCAGTCATGTCGCCTTTGTGCTACTGGGGGGGGACAAGCGGGGCAAAGCGGGCTCCAGGAAGGGCCCCCTCGAGGAGAGCCTCAAGAGTCGAAGACGGCAGAAGATGGCATCAAGATCTCTCTGAGATTGCCGAGAGGGCCCAAGATGGCCCGAAGATGCATCCAAGAGGAGAACAAACATTGAAGAGCCGTAGTGCTTAGAATGCTTGCTGCCCGTCCCATGTGTTGCCCCCCACGGCGTCCCGTTTCAAGACTGCATCCAGAGCCCCCCAGATCGCCAAAGACGGGCTCCAAGGTGACCCCAAAACGCCAGGACATGCAGCACAAATCGCACAAGGTGACCGATCATGGCCACCCCTGGGCCCCATAAGCCCTTGCAACAACCCCAAGATTGCCCTAGATGGCCCGAAGCCTGAAGATGCCCCCCGATGCTTCAAAATACACTCCGAGACCCCAATACGGGCCCCGGCACTTCCCCAATATCGTCAGGAGACTCCTTTCGCACAGAATGAAGATCCCATCCATATCAGACACAGATATGGAATCCTGAGACTTCCTCACAGCATTGCCTACATGCGCTCGTACATCGACCTGCCACCAAGGCGGCCCACGACTAAGAGAGGAGGCCGTCCATGAAAGAGACGCAGGAGAGCTTTTTCAGCAACTCCCCTCCCTCCCCCCTTCTCTCCTCCATCTCCACGCCCAGCCCCTGCCTCCCCTCCTTCCCTCTTCCACCACACACGGGCCTCTGCTCCACAGCTGGGAGAGGATGGAGGAGGAGGAGGAGGAAAGGAGGAAAGGAGCACTCCCCGAGACCTGGCGCTGCCGTCCCTCGTCTCCCACGGCACCGCCACCTCGCAGCGCGGCCTCCTGACCCAGGGATCAGAGATAACGTGCCCGTAACTCCGTAACGTGGACAGGAGGTGTCTACCTCCTCCTCCTCCTCCTCCTCCTCCTCCTCCTCCTCCTCCTCGTCCTCCGCCTCCACCTCCTCCTCCGCCCGTTCTCCTCCTCCTCCTCCTTATCCTCCTCCTTTTTCTGCTGCCCTTCCTCCTCCTCCTCCTCCTCCTCCTCCTCCTCCTCCTCCTCCTCCTCCTCGTGATCGGCACCCGCACGCGTGGGCCCCCCCAAAACTTGGGGCGGCTGGGGGGTGCATTCTGATCCGTCCTCTCCCTCTGAGCCTCCTGTTGCCCCGTGTTGCTCTATATACACCAGGACATCTTGGACATTCCTGAGGATCTCGAGGCGGCCAGGGAGGTGCTAATGAAACGAGGCTCTTTTCAAATGGGTGAGCTGTCTTGGGGGCAGAATAATCTCGCGTTGGGGGTCAAAGAGCCTACTATTGGGCTCCCAGGTCTTGACATCATCAGCTCGGATGTTCTCATGTGAGGCGACTTCGAGGGCACATGGGGTCTTGTCAGTTTCACCGACGGCTCTGGGCTTGCATCCAGTGTGCCAGAGACCCGCAGGTGCGGGCACGCGTGTGTGCAGCTCGAACCTGGGCCCCTGTTGCCGATTCGAGCTGTGTACGGGCTTTTGTCCGATTACGTTCAGACCGTCGGCCGTGCTGAGAGGTGTGTTATCAAGATGGGTTTGGAAGCGCACCCTGATCACGAAATGTTCGTGTCGGATCCCCTGGGGCTTGTATCCGAAGGTCGCACCTGGTCAGAGTCTCTCCAACACGGTCGGAACACGCATGCCAATGTCTGGCGAGATATTTCCCAACCATCCTGTGATGGTGGATCCTCGTTTTGAAAAGACAATCCCCGCGTTCACTCCTCATCCTCCCGCTGCCCCCTCCCTCCTCCTCTCACCATCGGCATCAACCGTGTCCCCATAGGGGACCCCACCGAATGCTCAAATGCCAGCGTTCGCATGCGGTCACCGCATCCATGTTTGGCACACCCCTCACACGGCTCGTGGCCCCACAGGGGGCCCCACCTAAGGTCCCAGCGGCGGAACTCGCATGACATCCCCGCCCCAGTTTGGCACACCCCTCACGCGTCTCGTGGCCCCATAGGGAGCTCTTCATAAGGTCCCAGTGGCTGAGTTCGCATGGCATCCCCGCCCCATTTCGGCACACCCCTCACGCGCTTCATGGCCCCATAGGGGGCTCCACTTAAGGTCCCAGCGCCCGCATGCGGTCACCGTAGCCCCACAAGGGGCCCCACCGAAAGCCAAAATGCCAGCGCTCGCATGCGGTCACCGCACCCATTTTGGCACCCCTCACACGCTTCGTGGCTAGGGATCCCCAACATAGGCCAAAATGCCAGCATTCGCATGCGGCCACCGCACCCATGTTGGCACACCCCTCGCACGTCTCGTGGTCCCACAGGGAGCCCCACCGAAGGCCTAAATGCCAGCGTTCGCATGCGGTCACCGCACTGTTTTTTCACACACGCACGCGTTTCGTGGCCCCGCAGGGAGCCCCACCGAAGGCCCAAATGCCAGCGTTCCCATGCGGCCACCGCACCCTTGTTGGCACACCCCTCGCACGGTTCGTGGCCCCAGAGGGAGCCCCGCCGAACGCCCAAATGCCCGCGTTCGCATGCGGTCACCGCACCCATGTTGGCACACCCCTCACACGTTTCGTGGCCCCAGAGAGAGTCCCACCGAAGGCCCAAATGCCAGCATTCGCATGCGGCCGCTTCACATTTAGGCAACACCCCTCACATGTTCTGTGGCCCCACAAGGGGCCCCACCGAATGCCCAAATGCCAGCGTTCGCATGCGGTCACCGCACCCATGGGGGGCACACCCCTCGCACGCTTCGTGTCCCCACAGGGAGACCCACCGAAAGCCCAAATGTCAGCGTCCGCATGCGGTCACTGCACCCATGTTGGCACACCCCTCACACGCTTCGTGGCACCATAGGGAGCTTCGCCGAAGGCCCAAATGCCAGCGTTCACATTCACCCACCGCACCTATTCGGGCACACCCCTCACACGTTTCGTGGCCCCATAGTGGGCCCCACCGAAGGCCCAAATGCCAGCGTTCCCATGCGGCCACCGCACCCATGTTGGCACACCACTCACACGTTTCGTGGCCCCACAGGGAGCCCCACCCAAGGCCCAAAATCCCGCGTTCGCATGCGGCCACCGCACCCATTCGGGCACACCCCTCACACGTTTCCTGGCCCCATCGTGGGCCCCACCGAAGGCCCACATTCCAGCGTTCGCATGCACCCACAGCACCCGTGTTTGGCACACCCCTCACTCGCTTGGTAGCCCCATAGGGGGCTCCACCGACTACGGTGCATACAAAGACGGTGCTCACAACAGCAAATGGTTGGGTCCTTCGCCAGGCAAATTGTCGTGCTGCGCTTCGCCGCCGCGCAGCGAAGGTGGTGCAGTTCGTATGGACACCAGCGCACAGGGACATCGAGAGTGTGCTGGTCGATCCTCAAGAGGTCGAGTATGCCTGGGCTGACTATTTCTCGAAGGATTGGGCGGCACACCGCAAGCACGGTGAGTAAGTCGATCTCTCAGGCCTTGAAAATCTATCAAGGCCACCCTGCAGTTCGCGTCCTGGGCCTGCCTGAAAGTTATCGTGTCTGGAGCTTGGGGTCGTGGATCCCCGTCCCGAGGGCCGTCGTCAGCCAGTCGTTCTCTGTCGTGCATCTGATCGTGATCTCTGGTTCTGCAAGCGTCCCCGATAATACAAGGTCAGATGGTGTGAGAGGACGGCTCGCGCGGGTTCGACTCCGGCATGGATCAGGACGGGTTTGGGTCGGAGATGTGAGCCTTCCGCCATCCAGCGTGCTGCTTGTTCAGAGTTCTGTCGTAGCTCGAAGGTCGGGGTGAGGACTACGGATCCGCGCCTGGAGGCCTCGCTGGAGCAAGTCTGGCCTTTCTTGGGGGAGAGCCCGCCCGTGGCCCAGGCGCTGCCCGCCAAAGGGGCCGATGGCCCCCCCCCCAGCGGCCAGAGCCTGGCGAGGCCTCAAACCCAGGTGCCGACGCCCTCGTCTCGGAGCTTGCCGGGGTGGGGGCACGACGTATCACATGTCAAGTCCGCGCTCTGCTGTCATAGGGGTGCTGGCGCGACGACCGTCTTAACTGCTCGGAGCGCTCGGAAGCTCTGTGGCCCTTGTGGCGGGCTCTCAGAGAATCCGAACACCCGCTCTGGCCAGCCCAAGTTGATCAATAGGATTTTCCGTGGACGCCCTAGGCGCCCTCAGCGCTCGGAGGCCAAAGGCTAACGTGTTTGGCTGTTTCTTGGTTGCGTTCTGAGGTGTGGGTTTTCCCTGGCCGCCGCCGCGCCTCCCGATTCACAACTTTCTACCGCTCGGCGGCTTCTCAGGGTTTTCCTAGTTATCCTGAGGCGTGTTCGACTCGGACGCGCTCTCAGTGGCCCTCATCCCTCTGAGCCCTCTGAGCCCCCTGCATGCCGAAAGCGACCGACACTCTGACTGTTTATCCTCTTGGTCTCAAGGCCGTCAGGTGCGTCGCGGCCTCCAGGAAATTTACATCCCCCCCTGAAGCCGCTGGATTCACGGAAGGCTCTCCAAGCTCCGCTTCGGCCCCGGGGCCCCGGGGGCGTTGCGAATCGCTGTGGCTTGAATGATCCCACACAAGGGTTTCGGTCGCAATATTTTCTCGGCGTCGTGTTTTGTCGCACCGCCAGACGTCCGAGAGGTGGGGAGAGGCAACATGAGGACGGGGAAGCAGGAGGGCAGGGGGTGGAGGAGGAAGGAGAGGATGAGCAGTGCGAGGAGAACCTCTGAACCCCTCGCCTACCCATCGGACCATCCGAACGAGGGCAGGCGAGGCGGAGGGGACGGGGCAGGGGCAGGGGGGCTCGAGAGTGCGCTCAAGCGCAGACGCTGGCCCCCCGATCCTGCTCGCTACGACTGCGATCACGGCAGGCCCGGCACCCTCGTCCACCGTGACTGTCTTACACTTGAAGCTGAACACGAGCTCCTGGTCGGGATCGGCGTCACTTCGCTGCGCCCTGACCGTTGGGGACCATCCCCCGTTGACCTTCCCGCAGGCCATCTTTCGCTTCTCGGACTTGGTGCCCTGCATTGGGGGAGGCTCGTCCAAATCAACGTCCAACCTCAACGGGAAAGTCTTCGACCGCTCGATGGCTTCGGCCTTGAGCGCTCTGCGGATCCCTGCGTCTGAGGACAGGCTGTCGCAGACACCCAGATCCATGCTCCTGCACGAGCGTATCTTGGTCACCTCCGGAGCGACGGTGCTCAGACTGCGTCCTCCCCATTTGCTGGCTGGCTGCTGCCCGTCCTGGCCAGAAAGACCAAGCGAAACAAAAATAAGATCGGCATACCTATCAGCAATGTACGCGCAGACGACAATGGCTGGGAACATCATCAAGGTCAACAGGCCCTCCGTCGAGGTAACCTCCTGCGGAGTCCACATGTCCAGCACGAACAACACCCAGAAATACGCGAAAAGAGCGAACACACTCGTGACTGCGAAAACTGCGGGTTGCTCGATCATCCGTGTCTGCCCTGGGTCCAGTGCGCAGATGCAGACAGCAGAGATGACAAAGAGGTTGAATGCGGCGCTTCCCACAATAGTGGACGTGCCCAGCCTGCCGATCTCGAAACCGCCGAAGACCACCTCGATAACCGAGAGCAAGATCTCGGGTGCCGAGGAGCCGAGGGCCATCAGCGTAAGGTTTGCGACCGTGGGGTTCCACACCTTCACCTTGAGCTCAATGAAGGTCTGGTTGCCGCCATCTTCGAGCGGCACCAGGTTGACGCTCTCGGAGCTTGTGATCTCCTCTGGCGAGGCTCCCCCGACATGCAGAAGGGTGAAATTGGGGCGCGCTCCAGGATCCTTCTATTTGATTTTCCGGGCTAGCGGCCGGCATCGGCTCCGCCCCCCCCCCCCCCGATGTCACGCTCCGCGCCAGCGGCGTCCGGGAATGCCAAGGGATGTCCGAGGCCAAGTAAGAACAGCATGTGGGTGGCGATCTAATTCCACAGCGCCTATGTACACCACGATGCTCGAGTGCACCAAAGCGCGCGTGTATACTGTATACCACAGCGCCTACATACATCGAGAGAGCCGTAGGCAACGCAGCGCCTGTGTACACCGCAGCAAACATGTGCAACACAGCGCCAGTGTGCGCCTCAGTGCTCGCGTGCACCACAGCGCCAGTGTACACCACAGCGAATGTGTGCACCGCAGCAAACATGTGCAACACAGCGCCTGTGTACACCACAGTGCTCGCGTGCACCACAGCGCCTGTGTACACCACAAGGCTCGCGTGCACCACAGCGCCTGTGTACACCACGGCGAATGTGCACACCGCAACAATCATGTGCAACACAGCGCCGTTGTACACCACAATATTGTGCGCGCGTGTACCGCGCCGCCTGTGCACACCACAGCGCCTTTGTACACCACATCATCCACGCGCAACGCAGCGCCTTTGTACACCACGCCGCCTGCGTGCACAGGACAGGAAGAAGGAGCATGTAAGTGAGGGTCTGCTGCGGACAGCTTAACGCCACGCCAGGGAAGTGCTGATAATGGAATGCGATGCTCTTCCCTCCTCCCTCCTCCTCCTCCTCCTCCTCCTCCTCCCCTCCTCCTCCTTCACCTCCTCCTCCTCCTCCACCGTCACCCTTCCCCCCGTCGTGCGGGTCAGCGCTACAACGCACGTGCGCATTTCAGCGAACACCGCAGAATGGTCGATCGAATCAGTCCATTTGGTTCTCCGACGGCCAATTATGCGGGAGCCTTCTGGTCGCAGATGGGAAGAGTTAGGACGATGCGGGAGGGCTCAGGATGACTTGTAGATTCCAGCGGCGCTAGTTTTTCCATAAGGGTTCCTTTCCGAATCTTATGACCAACAATGTTTTTTCGGTTGAGGAATCCACAGGCGCTCCATGTCGTCATAAGGATTTCTTCGTACGTTCTGTATGCAACAGTGTTGCTCGATTGCACACGGTTGCTGTGGTGCACGCAGGCGATGAAGTGTACACCAGCGCTGTGGTACACGCGAGCACTGTCAGGTACACAGGTGCTGTGTTGCACACGACTGATGTGGTGTACGCAGTCGCTGTGGTGTACACAAGCGCTATGGTGCACGAAGGCACTGTGGCACACACTGGCGCTGTGTTGCACGTGGCTGCTGCTGTACATCGGCGGTGTGGTGTACACGCGCACTGTGGTGCACGCGAGCACTGTGGTGTGCACAGGAGCTGTGGTGCAAATCGCCACCTACATGCTGCTGCTACCCGTCCTCGGCCATTCCTGGGCATTCAGGCATGCCCAGATGCCGCTGGCGCGAAACATGACATCATCACCCCCCCCAAATGTCGGCCGCCATCGGCCCTGTTGAAAAAACAGGCATCATATTGGTTGCGCTGGCGGAGTGAAGCAAGTAAGCCTGTGAGAGAGGCAGGACAAAGATGGATTCCGATTCGGACCGGCTGTGTAGCAGCATCTAACATCTCTACTGTGGCGAAAGACCACGCTCAACTCGATTGAGCTACTATCGCCGAGCCTTAGAACTGTGCTCTGGGACGCACGGGCTCGAAACTGGACCGACCCGTAGATCCCACATGCAAGGCAAATCCAACTGCTGCCAGAAAGGGGGGCAGAAGATGAGGGTAAGACGAATGAGGAAAACCAGGATCACCAGAACGAGTCCGGGATGCATCAACGGTATTCAACGATGCTGTTGTACACTCTCCCATTCCAAATCCCCCCATCAAGCATCACTGCTCTTGAACAACAACCGCCCTGTGGGCGTGCTATTCAGGTACAGCTCGACTCGAAAGATTTGCCATCAAGCGATACCACAATGTTCTAAACAAGGTACCCTTGAACCCTGCAAATGTATGTGGAAACAATGTTTGCCAGCAAGGACTCCCAAAACTGGGTTATAGTCTGCTCGATATGGACTCTACGAGGTGCAACGTATGGGATGCAATCCAAGCTTACCCAATCTACGCAAGACCACCTCCAATGCTCGTGCAAACATCCCACCCAGCCACCTCCAACTTGTCGGCACAATTCAAATGGGACACCACCGACGATGACGATGCATATGGTCACGTCCATGACGACGGTGCGAACCATGGCGACGACGATGATGGGTGATGTAACTGACGGTGATGGGAATGACTAATGACGGTGGCAATCATGGCGCTGACATTGAAGATGATGATGATAATGATGGTGATGAGGCGATGGGGATGATGGTGAAGATAATGATGATTGTTATGACAAGGATGATGATGAGACTGAAGAAGATGATGATGGTGTCTGTGGTGGTGGTGATGATGATGACGAATGCGCTGCTGCTGCTGATGGTGATGATGATGATGATGACGGCGTTGCCGAGGATGATGAGGAGGTACGCGCGCAGAAATTTGACGAGGGCGACGACATCGACGATTTTGCGTTCAAGCAACGCCTGCAGGGAACACACGACAGCCTGTGTGGCTGGCAACATGGTCTGGGACGATCAGCCACGTGAGACGAAGTCGCACTGGTCGCGAAGATACGTGTCAATGATAACGAGCTCATTACATTGTATCGCGGTGTGCAGGCAGATGTGAATTGACACGCTGCAGACGTCTACACTTACGCACAAGCGGCCGCTTTCAAGTTTTGCCTGGAGAACCTTGCGTCGAGAAGGAGGAGGAGGAGGAAAAGGAGGATGATGCAGAGAGGTAAGGATAAACTGAAGGGCATGGGATGCTGAGCAGCCCTAGGATTCTGCACTTGACTGCACCTGCACACAAAAACTGCGACAACACCCACCTACATGACTGGCAACGTGCTCCGGCACGATCAGCCACGTAAGACGACTTTGCGCTACCAGCACCTCCACTGGAAACGCGGGACGCAAGAGGGGCAGCATGTCGAAGGAGGAATGGAGCGCGCACCAGGTTCCAATTCAAGCTCAAGCTTAAGGCTGAAGATTCAAGCTTGTTCGTTTGAAGCTTGGCGTCCCGCCGTGTGCTACAGCAGCTGAAAACTTTGTTTCGGATATGGGTACGGTAGGCCGAGGACCACATGTGATCCGCCTATCTAGGCAAGAGAGCTGAGGACGACCCGCAATCAACACAATACCGAAGTCACGCGGAGCGCCAAACACTCCTGACTGGCGGCGACGCAATGCTGGCCCAACATAGCCACGCCCAAATCACTAACCCCCGAGATCCTCACGCATCCGAAACGATGCGGTGCCTGCTGCTCGCATCCGTGCTTGGAGGCAACGCTGCAACCACATTGAATTAACCAGAATCAGCCACGAAAAGGTGAACAAAAAAATGAACCAAGAATGGCAAACATCAATTCCTGCCAATAAGGCAAACAAGCTCCGTCAAGAGAACCACAGTACCAAATATTACAAAGCGCACCAGGGGTGCCTGGAATCACGTTCAATAAAAAAACACTGAAGACGCATGCGTCATTTGTATGAACAGAACATGAAAATCAATCAAGAAGGTTCCGTTTCGGGCCCCGCCACGTTCTCTGCTAGGTCAGACTCGATACGCCTCTTGTCATCAGCGTCACGAGCACCAGCATTCTCGACCTTCATGTGACCGAGAAAACAGAACCCCAACCCCAATGCGCACACAATCACAAAACACATTCCAATTGATACGGGCGCTAAAAGATACTCTACCCAACCCACATCGATTACAGAAAAACCCGCTCTGACCTTCACCGTCTGGATACGTTCGACGATGCACCACAAGCGGCGGGTAGCCTCAGTCGTGAATCTTCGACACGAGGGCTTGCACAATACCAAGGTGTGTGCGATGTTGGCAATCACTCGCTTAGTCTCCTCTTCTCCAAAGTCACGCCGCTTCTGGCGAGGAAAGAAACAATCTTCCCACACTGGGCAGCTGCGAAGCTCGAGCCAAGACTGGAATAACGAGACGCACTTCCGAAGGAAGGGAGCGCTCCTGCGCGCTCCAGCCAGCATGTCACGCCTCGTCACGGCCCACTCTTCTGCTTGGGCATGGGACAGAAACAGCAAAGCAAATGCGGCGACCCCAAGATACCCTGCAGGTGTCATGATTTCTAATACTGAAAAGAGCTGATATCCCATCAGCACCAAAAGCTATTTCAGATGATCTGCTGCCCTTTTCCCTGCCCCTTACAAATGGCCAATTCATAAATTCTGAGGCCGAGTCCTGGTCATCAGATTCTGGCCAGCCAGTGGCGTGTAGAGAAAATCGTCCGCCGCGTCCACTGTGATGCCACAGAGGAGGTGGTCGTCAAGCTGTCGTACGTCGGCTGGGCGTGGCCACGGCAACACGTGACTGCTATCGGGCCCACCGCCACGTATGCCCCCGGGGCGGACGGCTGGCGCCACGTGTGCGCTCCTGAGAGGAGAAGGGATATATGCTGACCCCTCGAACCGAGAAGTCTTGAGACTAAATGGCTACGGAGGGTGACGACATCGACGATGACGATGATGACTACGACAACGACGATGACGATGGTGCTGACGACGATGGTTATGGAGATGCACCAGATGATGCTAGAGATGGTGTTGATGATAAGATGATGGAGCACGCGCGCGCAGAAATTTCGAATGTCTGGCATAAAACACATATGAACATTACTAAAGCTTCATTTGTTTTATGACATATCTCGAAATTCTTAGAACACAGTTGGGGTTGGAAAGATCTCGACTTGGGCGCGCGAAGACGTGCGCCCGTGGCCCACCGTGTACTGCTTGACAGGACTGTTGGGTGCGCGATGGATGTTGAACACGTTCGACATGCGCGCGACTGCAGCCCGCATACTCTCATGTGGCAGATCGACTGAACACTGCGAATTGTCTTCCTCAATAAACCCGCCGGCCCCCCTGCGGGGCCATCAGGCGGCGTGGCGGAGGTGTCCTGCCCCCGTTAACAGTTCCAGTCTCCAGTCTCCAATGCTGCAATCATACTTTTTGCTTCCTACTGCTGCTGTCCGCGAGCGAGAGGGGGGCAGCCGAAAACCGCCCTGGCCACAGCCGAAAACCGCCCTGGCCACCGTCTCCCCCCGAGCCCAACGTACTGCCCCCTTCTAGTCATGGAAAGCACCAACCCTGCCTCCAAGCGGGGTAGAGCCGTGCCTTCCCAAGCAAAGAGCATCCCGACCTGCCCTGGCGTCCATGCTTCAATCGAACGTATTCGGGAGTGTGTGTGGAACCACCGCGCCCATGACGGTTCCGAGACCGCCGACGGGCCTACAACGGGCCCCCCAACGGGCCCCCCAACGGACCTCCCAACGGGCGTCCCAACGGGCCTCCACCGAGCACCCAACAGGCCCCCAAGAGGTCCCCGAGGGGGCCAAATATACCCAAAGGAACCCTCAGGAAGAGCCCAAACTGCCTTTAATAAGAGAATAGAGGACGAAGGCAAAAGGAAAACGATAACGAAACCAAGGTCGAGGAGAGGGTGTTCAAGACTCGCGTCAGTTGAGCGGAAGCACTGATCTGGAAGGGAGCTGACACTCACATCCACCTGCGCTAGTGCGCTGGCACGGTGGCGGGGTCTGCCGAAGGCAACTGTTGCCTGCAATTTGCTGATCGGTAGCGCGCTCGGCCCGGCAAAACCCCGCAAGATACGCACGCAAGAAGGCACAAGCGGCGGCATCAGCGGCTTGCACGCGAGGCTCGGGGTATCCTCGATCGCCGCCATGAACGCGTTGCACACCTTCTGCGGAGCCGATGAAACGCCCATGTCCTACGCCACATCTCCCCGCACCCCGCGCTCTGCAACGCGTGGAGCGCGAAACACCGCCAGTTTCGTGCATCAACGCAGTCCCCCCTGGAGGCTTCGCGAGGCGCGGAGCGAGACTGTCTGCACACCCCCGCAGGAGGCCCAAGACACCGAACCCGTTCCTTCTGGCGCGATGCCGCCACCCTGTGGGATGCCCTTCCCCCGGAGGAGAGGTGGCGGCGTTGGGTTCCACCGCGGAAGGGGCGCCTCGCCCACGCCCTGGAAGAGCCACATCAGGCCGAGGAAGTAAAGGAGGGCGCGCAGGGCTGGCGGCCACGACTGCTCGAACTCGCCGAAGGCCGGCAGCAGGTTGAGCCCCTCCCCGCACGGCTCGCAGACGCTGAGGCCCTCGACGGACGAGGGGCAAGCGGGCGCCTCGAAGTGGCGCGCCGTCCTCGGGGGGGGGGCTCGGGCTCGGGTTGGCAGGGCGCCGTTGGAAGAGGAGGAGGAGGAGGAGGAGGAGGAGGAGGAGAAGGACGTCGACGTCGACGACGACGACGACATCGTCCTCCTTCTCCTCCCCCTTCCTCCTCCGCCTCCTCATCCTCCTCCCCCTCCTCCTCCTCCTCCTCCCCACCATCATCATACTCGTCATCCTCGTCCTCATCGCCATCCTCATCGCCATCACCATCGCCAGTGCTTTGCCTATCTAGCGTCATGTTAGGCAAACGTTTACTGGTATTCATAAGTCGTGTTGCTTCTTGATCTTTTTATTGTATCTCACGGGAAGCTAAACTCCCGCTGCGAACTGGTGAAGGCTGGGTAAGCCCGATAAGCGGAGTTGTTCTCAGCAAAAGTAAATCGTCTATGTGTACGCGCGCGCGGCCTGTCTGTCCGGCAGGCTGGCGCGCGCTTCTGCTCGAGTAACCATGCACAAATGCGGACGCAGTCTCTCCGCGTGATCCATGTCCGAGCTGGGCGAGTGGGGGCGTTAGCAACGACCCCCCCCGCGGCCGCCCAGCGCGACGCTGTCGCGCTGGGGCGGGCGTCGGCGCATTGGCTAGCATCCCTAACGTGACAACGGCACCTGCCGAACAGCTTTCGGCAAGTCCCGCGAGCGCCGGACAGCCCCCACCCCTTCCCCCAGGGCCACATTGGGCCCCCCGCCGCGCCAACCCCAAGAAGCCTTTACGGCGCATGCGGCAGGTGGGGGAGCACTCCTGTCACCGCTCTGCGGGACAAGTCGAGGGCCCAGGCCCCGCGACACGCCCCGCCCCAAGATTGCATTCGAGGCGCGTGCCGCCCAGCCATCAACTCATGAGGCTACCGGCCCGTCGACGACCTCGGCGCGGCCGCGGTCCTTGCGCGCGCTCTGCGCCGACCGGGGCAGACTGAGACACCGTCTCAGCCTATCACCCATGCCCGCCGCCTGAGCGATTGGTCGCCCACCGCTGATCGCCGCGCCGATCGTCGCGACCGGCGCCCCAACCCCGATCGCCGCGCGAAGCCCGCGAATCAGCCCAGCTCGAAGTGGGCGTCCAGGATGTCCAGCGATCAGCTGAATCAGCACGCCAGGGGGCATGCGAAAGCGCCGCTTCGCCCTGCCACCGCTGGCCGTAGTCGCGATGCCATGCCGCAAAGGACTCTATCGCGGCCGCCTCGGTTACCTGCGCCATCGACGCGCGCGGCGCGGGCGTCGGCCTCGGGGCGACGTGGCCAGTCCGACCTCTCGGTTGGATGGCGCGTTCCTAGTCGGCCGCGGCTCGACCCTCTGCCGCGGGGGCGCATCGGGCGAGGCGCGCCGATCTCTTATCGTGAGAGGGCCACTCTGCCCGAACGCCCGCAGTGGCATGCCCTGCTCTAGCCCCCACTTTGTAGGCTCCCGCGCCCGAAGGCGCGCGGTGGAGGCCTGACCGGGCGGGCCATAACTGCTGCTGCGTTCCTGAGCACGAGGCGCCTCGCCACTGATCCATCGGCCCTCGCTGCCGCGCGTCTGCGCCCCCGCCTCGGCGGTGAAGTCTGCCCGCGGCGCTAGTCTCCACGAGAGGAGGGCGCAGCGCCCGCGGCAGCATCGCCAGGGCGATCGCCCCCCTAATCTTCTTCACCTTTGCCATCTTCATCGGCCGGCTCGAGCGGCTCCCATTCGTCCTGGAAGCGGGCCCGCGCGCGATCCTTAAGGTGCTCGAACGTGGGAAATGATTCCCCCGACCCTCTCCCCGCCGCCGATCTCCCCATCCGTTCGACGTTTCGAGGCCTCTCAAGTGGACATCCTGAAGCCGCCCCGCATGAAGGGCTCCAAAAAACCATGTTGCCCATCGGCCCTCGCATGGTAACCCAAAAACGACCAAACTTCGATCGGGGCAAGAGAGAGCTGTCTATCCGACGGTTGGCGTCCCCATATGCTTCTGAAAGTTGACTCGACGCTGACCCAGCACGCGAACCTTGTTCCGAAGCCATGCATGAACCTGAGCTGGCAACGTGTCCTTTGCCAGCGTGGGCCGCCCACGCATGCGCGGTCACGTGCTGAAAAGTAAAGGCCGTCTTCCCTTGGAGAGCCAACTGGCTTGATTTAAAGCGAAGTTTTCGGACTCAACCGACTCAACCTGTTTTTGCATCATTTTCATCATCATCATCGTCGTCATGATATTCATCATCGTCCGCGTCATCGCCATCATCATCACCATCTCCTCATCATCGTCATCATCAGAATATCCATCATCATCTCCTCGTCATCGTCATCATCATGTAGTGATGGTGATGATTAAATCAAGACCCGCATGACGATGACGGCGGCGTGAACATGTTGATGCTGATGATGATGACGATGACGATGAAGTCGATGATGATTGCGATGATGATGGCGATGAAAATGATGATTTCGGACTGCGCGGGCCGTGCTGCCTATCAATCGGAAAGCCCCTCCGTGGAAGCGGGCCACCGCATCTCGTCAAGCACCTCCGCGAGGTCGGGCAGCGCCACGGGGGCCCGCGCCAGGTGATCGGCCACGACGTGGTTCACGACGTTGAAAAACTCCTTCGGGCCAGGCGTGGCGTCGATCCTGCGCGCCCTGAACTCCCGAATGACGTTGGAGCGGATCATGGCGGCGATCTGCGGCCTGCTGTCGTCTACGCGCTGTTGCAGCTCGTGGTGGGTCGCGAAACAGTCCTGGCAGTCCGCGGAGGCGTGGTGGTGCACGTTGTGCTCGAGGGAGGACAGGGTGCCCATGTAGAATGACCCAGGCTTTTGCTCGAGGGTGACGACCCTTCCGCAGGATGCCGTGCTCGAGGGTGACGCCCCATCATGTGCTCCCATGACCCCTGGGATCCTCACTTGCACGAAGCGCGCCCCGAAAATCGTCACGGCCGCGTGCAACAGGGAGCATCCGCCATCAGTGTGCCAACCATCGTCCCGCGCGCCTGGTTGCATGAGCTGGATCGATGCGTACGCGAACGCGTTGTCGGCGAAGTGCTCTGTCATGATAGGCTTTCCGTTCTGCTCGACGATGACAGGTGGCATGCCGTCGGCTTTGACGGCCTCGCGCATTTTGTCTCCCAGCTGTTGCAGCCGCGGGCGCATCTTCTTCCGCAGCGCTCGCACGAAGGCGGCCATGTGGGGCGAGGGGGTGATCTGCAAATTCCCGCCCTTGTTGAGGCTGCGGCACTTCGGGGGGCTTTCGTCGTCCATGATGCCTGCGACCTCTGTTTTCAAGCCCTTTGCCGCCTCGTCGCCTCGGACGCATTTGGAGACGGTTGCCCCCGTGTCCAGGCGCTCCTCGGCCAAGTTCTGCCAGCGCGGGTCTCTCTGCAAGAAGCGGAGCAAGTCTGGGTCCAGCTCCGCCTCCGCTATCGCGCCCGTGCCGTTTTTTCCCTGCGCCATGGAGATGCGCACGACGAGCTGCGCGCCAGCCGGCTGCAGGAAGCGACAAGCCCTTAGACGACTGATTGTCGCTCTGGCGCCAGGGTGCCAAAGCAGGCAGGTCTCGGCGGCCTTCAACAAGTCCGGGGGGCAGTCTGCAAGTTCGTCAACGGGCCAGCGCCCTCGGCCGTCGAGTGCCTTCGCTGTTTCAGCCTTTAGCCAATCCTCGCCCGACCGCTTGAACCACTTCTCAAAGAAAGGCAGGTTGTCCAGCCACGGGGCGGGTTCCTGGCCTCGTAATTGTAGAAGTCTCCCGACCCTGGCTCCTTGCCTGGGATCCCCAAGACCCCCCTGCAGAAAACCACGAAGTCTTTCGGGTGCCCCCCTGGATGCCCGAGCGCGCCGCAAGGCTCTGGTTGGAACAACACCTTGCGCGTGTACAACTCCGCCATCAGGCACCCGATGGACCACATGTCCAGGTCCTCTGAGTAGCGCTGGTTCCCCAAGAAAACGTCTACCGCTCTGTAAGCGGGCGTGCGTGCTCCGAGGTCATCGCAGGTCGGGCTGTAGCGCAGTTTCTTCTTCAACCTGCCGTGGGGATCCGCCATCTCCACACAGCCGAGGTCGCCGAGCACCACCTGCGGAGAGGGGCGGATGGAGGAGAGGGGAGCGACGGCGACTGAGCTCCCCCTGGAGGGAAGGGCGGGATAGAGGGCACGACGACGGCATCTCGGGGGAAGGGTGGAACCTCCCTTGTTAGAACTCGGTGTGAGACCTAACATGAAGGCTAGTGAGATAAGCTGAGCTCTGACCTCGTATATGAGGGCGTCGTCGGAGCTCTAACATGCTATGTTAGAGCTCCATGGGAGCTCTAACACGCTATGTTAGAGCTCCATCGGAGCTCTCACATGCTATGTTAGAGCTCCCTGGGAGCTCTAACATGCATGTTAGAGCTCCCTGGGAGCTCTAACATACTATGTTAGAGCTCCATGTGAGCCCTGACAACTCGGGATCTTAGTCGAAGGAACGACGATGATGACGAGGATGACGACGACGACGACGAGGATGACGAGGATGACGATGATGACGAGGACGACGAGGACGACGACGACGAGGACGAGGAGGACGACGACGAGGACGACGAGGATGACGAGGATGACGAGGACGACGAGGACGACGACGACGAGGACGAGGAGGACGACGACGAGGACGACGAGGACGACGAGGACGGCGAGGACGACGAGGACGAGGAGGACGAGGAGGAGGAGGACGACGACGACGGCGACGACGACGGCGACGACGACGTCGACGACGAGCGCCTCGAAGGAACTCGGGATCTGCCAGTCGAACTGCAGCTTGCTCTTTGGGCACGGCGCGACGGGATCCCATTCGCCAAGCTCACGTGATACAAGTGCCTGCTTCTCGAAGCAGCCGCGCGTCTGCGGCGATCCTCGCATCAGGATGTTCGCGGGCTTGATGTCGCAGTGAATGAGGCCCCTGTCGTGCATGTACTGGAGCCCTTCGAGAACGCTGTTCAGGACTATCCTTGGTACTGACTGTTGCAGTTCTCGGTGTGCTTTCTTCGGGACTGTTGCAGTT